CCTCCCCCCACCCTGAGTTACTTAGAAAGGGTTCCCAGCACCACTCCTGGCACCAGCAAATGTGTACACAAGCCACTCCTGATCAATGATCACACAGTCTAAAACAAGACACATGATTGTAGATTGGGTGCAGAAAATGTTTGCACAAACCCTTAGATTTTTAGGCACTATTTTTACAGTGTAATAAATACTTGAAGGCACTGTACAATACATACTCATTTCATCATAGAATCTGCATCTTACTCTTTTATGAAGTGAAAGACATTTATATTTTATGCAAGGTTTTTTAAATTGGGTAAAAGCCAATGGCTTTTCAATGCTCCTACAAAAAAGGAGCTCTGCATCTTTAAAATTTTGCTGTATTTTCTCTCCCTCTTCCTGCTCTCACTGCAGGCAGTGTAGGCTCTGCAGCAGCTGGCTCATCCTATCAATAAGGTTGAGTTAGCCAAGGTGGAGGATGGGAGTGGAATGGAACTGTCCCAGCTCCTCAATGAGATCAGGGCAAACTATGAAACGCTCCTCACCAGAAATCAGATAGACATCGTCCTCTCAACAAGCACCCAGGTAATGATTTCATACAGACAGACACCTTCCAGAATAAGGAGACAGTCCATGTCTACCCAATTCCTGCCTCAGCCTCTATGAGGTACAGTATTTCCTTTTCAATGCAGCATATTATTGGGGAAGGGATATAGATTTTACTGCAGTATGGCTAGACTGAAAAGCTTAGAAATAATGTGATCCTTACGTTATAATATTCACACTAATAGAATGCTGTGTAATGCCTTTGGATGTTTGTCTGTAACTGCAAGCCAGTGATATTGTTGTTCTTAGAAAATAAAAACAAGATGACATATGCAATAACATGGTACCCTCTAGCCTCATTCAGAGTTATCCCTCAGGAGGCAACATCTTAAATATCATTTAGGGATGATATAAAGAAGTGGTATATAAACAGTCTTTACAATTTGTATCACCTATATTGTGGAAAGCTTTACCTTCTCACGACATTTTATATATCATTCCCAGGAAAACCATGCCATATTTTTTTCTGCAGTGCTTATATCACTGGTTTTCTGTATCATCCTTTTAAATGTTATTTAAATTACACACACAGTAGCTCTACAACACCACAGTATGTTGAAATAATATGACAAAGCCAGTTACAATCCTCAAATGCCAAGGAATTCAGGCAGAAACTTGGTTCTTTTATCACATTGTTGTACTTTGATATTGCAAAAATTCTGAACAGTGAGAGATTTACCTGCCATGGTCCAGATTACCCAATATACTCTGGCTGCTTTGCACCACTTTGACACAAAGAAGCCATAAACCCAGTTTAACTAATCACTTAAACCAAGTTCATGTCTGCTTCACATTACTAAAGGAACACAATAAAGCCAAATTGTATTTATGCTGTAGTACACACAAGGGCAGGCAAACAGTGTTCAGTCTCTATTAGGAACTAGCTAAACCTGACTTTTTCACTTTAAGTGATAACATTACAATATATTAATATCATATGACATAACATATGACATAATACTTATAGTAAAGCAGTAAAGTGTGCATTGGATATACACAGTAAAGTGTTGTGATGTCATCACTGCTTACACGCAAAACACCAAATTGTGAAAAGAGCCATAATTTTCCATTATCATAATTAAGCACTATGTAAGCATTATTCATAATTTTAATGCACAGAAGCAACTGACTTGACAAAACAGTGTTAATGTCTGGCCTCTGCTTAATTCAAACAGTGCATCCCACACATACAGCTACTATCCAGATACTTCACAATCTAATTTATTTAACAAATTTAATAGTGATCCTCCTCTATTAAGACTGTTCTTTGGAACCAAATCTGCATTAAGAAACAAAGGGCCTAAATTAGACTTGACATAGCTACTGCAACGCCACTTCCTTTGGTGAAGCTAAAGCCGCTTACTCCTAGGCTGAATTGGGGCTAAACACAGTTGGTATTTCTGTAGTGGAACAACTTTACAACAAGAGTCTTATAAAGTCTGAGGTAAAAGTGTTGTATACATTTGGTATTGATGGTCTAATAGTTTAGCCTTTCCCACCCTAGCCTTTATCTTTCTGGCCCTGACATAAAACAAGTCCCAGAATTGTTTATAAAATACTTGGATTATTTCTTTATTATTTTTCAAGTATATGGTAGCTCAGTCCCTGCCAATGTACCTTGGTCCAGTACTGTTAATCAACCTGATATTTCTTCAAATACATCCACACTTTGTCTGAGAGAATTTATGTTAAAAAGACTAGACTAGAGAGACATTTTAGTAAACTGCACAAAGCTAACTAAAGATTAAGCCAATTCATTCCTAGCAGAGTTTGCAATTAACAAAGTTTCTCAGAGATTACAATATTCGGTGATGTACACAGGATTTCATTGCAACTAGAACAAATGTATTCAACGCCCACAAATACCTAAGAAATTTATTTAATTACATATTTATTAACGTAAATAATAAAATTAAATGCCATTATCCTATTTATATCTACTCTAGCTAGAAGAAGCTACAAATGAAAGAATGGACAAAGATGAGGAAGATTTAAAGGCAGCCAGAGCAGAGCTCAGTGAAGCCAGGCGTCAGTGGCATCATATGCAAATTGAAATTGAATCTCTCCAAGCTGTGGTAAGCATGGCCAAGAAATGGTATTATCAAACTCCAGAAAATGTAATCTGTTTCTTCTTCCAACATGCAATATCCCACTGTTCACAACAATCACATCCAATTTGCAATGAAAAGATAGCAAGTACAGAAATATACAGACTCTTCCCACTGATTGTTAATCACCTGGAAATTTCCCAGCCACTTATTCCTGCTAAAGACTATCAAATATTTTGATCCAGAATCTTTTATTTTATACACAAACTATATACATACATATAGATATAGGTATAGGTATACACACACACACATTACTACTACTACTACTTTAGCTTTTTATTCCTGCCAAGCAATTATGCACATTTTTCAAGAATTGTTCCACAATATCCCCATATCAATTTCCTAACTAGTAACCTATCTCACTTGTCCATTTAAATCATGCTTTACTTTGATCCTTTGAACCTATGCCCCAGGTAAGCAAAATGGTGCTTTTGCTGAATTGGGAGTTTATATTCTGTAACGCTGGTGAAACAGTTTTGTCCATCCACACTACAGCTTTGTTTACCCTAAGGATTATTTTAAAAAGAAAAAAATCTTTTGCTACTACTGTCACCATTTAATTTACTTCAGTAGGAGTTCTACAACAGATTAGTCTCCAGAAGGTTTCCAGTATTACAATGGGGAAAAAGCATGAGAAGTTGACAGATCTTGTGTATGTCTCAACTGTCATGTGTGCAGCTAAACAATTATTGGCAGTAGTAGATTTTTTTCTCCAAATTCACTAGTGAAGACAAGACCTATGAATGACACCGTTTTTAAAATGCCTTTCGGGGAGACCCACTACTTGACAAAAGATGTCTAAAATTAATCAAGATCCCTGGTGTAGACAGGGATTAAGAATATAAACAACAGTGATTTATAACATGACTATAGTGACTTCACAACTTGGTGAATTCCTTTTTTGGATAGCTGGACAGACTTGCTAATAAAAAATGAATTGATTTCATGGTATAATAGAAGGCCATCAAGGTTTATCTGCTAGCTGCTATTTGAGATTATATAAATCTTACTGAAAAGTTAAAAAAAACCCACAAAACAAAACACCATTTTAGATTCTTATAGAAGATGTTACCTTAAAGCCTGGGTTTTTACTATTGTTGCTAAGGATTATTTTTAAAAAAAAAACAGATTTAACAATGTGTTTTCTGTTTTGTGAATGAACACTATGTGAAACTGAACCTTTTAGGCGACTTTTTGGACCTTTAATATTGATTTGACTTAACAGGAAAAGGGTTTGGAAAATTCATTGCTTGCCACAGAGCATCATTACCATATGCAACTACAGAGTTTAGAAGCTGAAATTGAAGGCTTAGAGAAAGAGCTACAGGAAGTGAGAAAAGGTATTGAGAAACAGCTTCAAGAGCATGAAATTCTACTGAATACAAGGATGAGGCTGGAGCAGGAGATAGCAACATATCGCAGGCTGCTAGAAAGAGAGGAAAACAGGTACTGCCTAACTGGATAAACAGTATTTGCTTTTATTTTACACTTCAGAACTTTTTTGTAGTAATTTTCAGGGTTGTATGAATATAAACATCACACCACCAAAAATATTAGATATGGGTTAAACAGAAGCTCCTTAAAGAAGGATCTTTTTACCTTGTACAATCTTATGCATAGGTATAATTAATCTGTAAAAAACAAGATAATAAATGATTACATGCAGTTTTCCTACCATTAAAATAAACATTTCTGGAAAATCTGTGATACTTATCTTCCTGATTTTTAAAGTTTATGTTTAGGCTTTTTATGGGATTGGTTTGCTTTTTTAAAAGATCAAGTTTTAAAACACCTCTCCACAATCACAGCAACTGTGAAACATATTCAAGTCCATATGCATTTTTTGCTATACAGTGCTCGCTTTGGTACAATTTTAACTTAATTACACACAATGGTACTAATTCATCACACTTGGGTTTAATTTCATTGAATTAAACCAGCAATTTGTGGTAATGTATTCTAATCTAAACAATCAAGTAAAACCTTCGGAAACACTTTTTTTTTCTAATAATTTAATCCATGTTTAATTTTAAGCATTTTTAAAAAGAGGAGCCCCCACCCCCTAAATATTACAATCACCTCACACTATTAGTTTTAATACTTAGAATCATAGAATCATAAAAAAATAGGGTTGGTAGGGTCGGTAGGGAACATGGGCCGACAATGCAAGCATACGGTCAGTAAGGCTAACCGTACCTTGTCGTGCATCCACAGATGCATCACAAGCAGGGCCAAGGAGGGGATCCTCCCCCTCTATGCGACACTGGTCAGGCCGCAGTTGGAGTACTGCATCCAGTTCTGGGCGCCACACTTCAGGAGGGATGTGGACAGCATCGAGAGGGTCCAAAGGAGGGCCCCTCGCATGATCCGGGGACAGCAGGGCAGACCCTACAAGGAGAGGCTATGGAACCTTAACCTGTTCAGTCTTTGCAAGAGAAGGCTGAGGGGGGCATGGTGGTCATCTATAAACTTACTAGCGGGGACCAGCGGGGATTGGGAGAAACCTTGTTCCCCTGAGCGCCTCCCGGAGTAACAAGGAATAACGGCCATAAATTGTTAGAGAGTAGGTTTAGACTAGACATTAGAAGACACTACTTCACAGTCAGGGCGGCTAGGATCTGGAACCAATTTCCAAGGGAAGTGGTGCTGGCTCCTACCCTGGGGGTCTTTAAGAGGAGGCTTGATGTTTACCTAGCTGGGGTCATTTGAGCCCAGTTTTCTCTCCTGCCCAGGGCAGGGGGTCAGACTAGAAGGTCTACAAAGTCCCTTCCAACCCTACATCTATGAATCTATGACCTCAGGAGGTCATCTAGTCCAACCCCTTGATCAAAGCAGGACCAGCCCCAACTAGATCATCCCAGACAAACCTTTGTCTAGCTGGGTCTTGAAAACCTCCAAGGATGGAGATTCCACAACCTTCCTCACATACACCGTATTGCTTCCATAATACTTCCTCACATACACTATCGCTAAGTATATGAGCATGGTCCCCTAAAGGTTACAATGAATAAATGATTTCAGTGCAGATAAAGTAGATTAATTTTGATATGGCAAATCTCAAGTATTCTACATAACAAAAGGCAGGGTTTGGATTTAGCATATCTGAGTTGCTGCTCAGATACAGCTAACAAATATTGAAATAATTATGGAGTTCACACATGGAAGCATTAGGCCCCATTCTTCCCTAAATGGGAATAACCTTAATTTGAGAAGGAAACACCACCATTTCTGCCATTCAACTTGCTTCTTGGGAATTCTTCCAGTAGAGTTTTGTATCTCTTGCTTCCTCACAGGAAATGTTGACCTAAAACGCTCCAAGTGAGGGAAAACAACTGAATTTTTTTCAGTATATTTCAGTATAATTTTGTAAAAATTAAACAACATTCAGTATGAATAAAACAGAACAAAATAACATATACCTTCTTCTCCATCCCCACCCCACCCCCAATCCGCCTTGCATACTGCCAATTCAATTAAATGTTTTCAGGGGAAAATGATCCAATAGGTGTGCAAGTATTCTCAGTAAAATTATTTAGTCCTATAATCAAAATAAGACATTCTAACAAGGGATTTCTGCAGTAAATATATTGCTTTTTACTGTCATTATTTCTGCACATTTTCCCATCATAATTCAAGTTTCAGTTTAGAGTAACTTTAATATTATTATAGTGTGTAATATTTTCATTTTTGTAGGTTTCGTTGTTCTACGCACCATAGAAAAGATGACAGAAAACCTACCACCAGCAAGATAGCTTTTATCTTACCATCAAGTGAGTTTTTGAAAGATATGGAAGCATTTCTAAAATAAAATACACTTGTCTTCAGTTCTCAGTACTGCACAACTGAATTTCCCAAGTAGGAATTATAGTGAACTATTAATGATAAGATGTATTATATGATACCTTTCCATAAATTAAAGACCAAAAGGAATGTAAAAGCTTGCGCACCAAACTCCACAAATTAAAACTTGCTGAATTAAAGTAGATTAATGTATGCTTTTCATCGGCTATGTTCCTGTAAATTATTTATGAATACAGTCAATTCTGTATTTGCTTAATGTATAGCTAGGAAATAACGTATTGACTTCTCTTATCTTAGATCAACTGCCACATATTCCAGCTTACTGTACCTTAAAAACAGTTTAATGCCTGCTTTAATCACAATGAATGCTAAAATAAACAATTTAGTGTTAAATTCCCCTACGCCAGCACAGAGAAGATGAACACATACAGCCTTCCATATCATCTTCCATGGAATCCCATCTGCCACAGCTAAATTAGGATGAAAGGGGTGGAGAGACATGCAGAGCAGAACGCATTGCTTTTCTTCTGAGAATAGGCTGTTTGTGCAAACAGCTAACACATACTGCTGATCAGTACATTTATGTTAGACAGCCCTATTACCAAATATCCCACTGAGCTGACAACCTGCAACTTTTAGAGGAGTTTGGTTTACTAGTCAGGATGCTCTCCTAATACTTTCTTGAACCCTTTAAAAAGATTTTATTCTGATCCTTTTTAAAAAGTAAAAGTTTGGAAGGTTATTTTCCCCACACTTGACCCCCATGTTCCACATGGTCTGGATCTAACCCAAAATATGTTCTTGGCTATGCCACAGTTCCAAAAATTATCTGGATACCTGTGTGTTTTGTTTTACAGCTGGGGCCATAAAGAAGCATGAGACTGAAACAGTAGAACTAATGACAAAACAAGCAATCCTTAATGGAAACATGGTGAAGGAAAGGGCCGAAGCTCATGGCACGATACAGTAAGACAAACATTAACTAAGCAACATGAAAATTATATATAAAGTTATAGCTATTTTAATTAAATATCTGAAGGCCCCACTCTATGCTTATGTCTGCCCTGCCTCCTTATGGACTACACCCAAAAAGAAAAAAAGAACATCTCTCTTACTCTTATTCCACACATACCCAAACCCAACAGTCATGGAGGGTAGAAGGATCAGGGGAGCCTGGACATGTTCCTCAGTGCTAGTTTCAGGCCTCTTTTCTGAAAGGAACCAAAGAGCAGCCTTTAGAAATGCTGAAGATCCCTCTTAACTGTAATATATATAAACACACATATACACACCTTACTAAAAGGTACTAAATATCAGGTATTTTATTAGCTTTCTACTTTATTCACTTCTTTTTAATTCTGTTCCTGTGTTACATATTTCTGACTGGCTTCTTTTTGCTTTTTTATTACTAACTATAGGAGCATGATACATTTGCAGGCCTGTCTGTTGGTTTCAATTATTACAAAACATCTGTTTTAACTTGCTTTACTAATGTAGGACTATATAATCTTTTTCCCTCTTCCTCTCCTTGATTTTTTCATCTTTTTCACTTTTTTTTCTAACATTTTACATGACTTGGGCCATATTGTGTCACTGATATTTATTAGAATTAGATGTTGAAATCATTCAGAAATTCTTAAAACGAGGGTCATAGTATGGCCTTGTTGATATACATGTTTCAAACTCAGGGCCTGATCCTGCAATTCTTACTCATGTGAGCAACTCCTACTGATAGCCTGATGGATTTAAATGAAACTACCTGCTTAAATTAGGTTTATTCAAATTAGTGAGGGCTCTAGAATCAGACCCTTAAATCCAGATCCTAAAAAAATATTTACACACCTAATTAAATTTAGGTGCCTAAACATCATTGATAGGGGTCTACTTAAATTGCGGAGAAATTAAACAATTTTCATGGGTTGGTGACAGTATAAATAGCAAATTATTTCCTGGATGTGTTAATACATGATAAACAATAAAGTAAATTATGTAGAGCTATACAAAAAGTTTAGAAATACTAATTTATGCTTCCCTTAATAAAAACAATCCATTAAGGTAAGTGCCTATGCCCTGGAAGGGGTAGGAGGGACGAGGGGGGTGGCAGCCATCTTGTGCATTGCTGAAACCCTGCAGAGCGGCCCTTGGTGACGTGACTGGTACCCTTCATGCTGCCCCACCAGCTGGCACCTTCCCACCCTGGGTAGGCTGCGAGGCCAGGCCACAGTGGCAGCGATGACCATTGGCTCCCTGGAGAGCCAGCATTTTGTTTCCATTAAGTTTTTAATTTATTAAGTTGATTTTGTGGACACTCATATTTCGTGTTTTTTGCAAAATTTTCAGAATTGCAAATTGAGTAGACTCTAAATTGTTGGTTTTGAGAGTTACTCTGCATTTTACTTCTGCTGGCTTTGAATGTAAAGTAATATCAAGCTTTGAAGTGTGGATGTGCATCTAGATTTTAATCCTCCATATTTTCAGAAGTTAGTTCTATCTATTACAGCTATTGAAGCTAACTGCAAAACTTAGATATGAGGGCTGAATTTTTAATATTCTTCCTGCTGATTCTGGGAGTGTTTACTTCAAAGTGTTTGTTTTAATCCATACCTATTATTCTACAAGAATAGAAATATAATAAGGCTTGTCCCTTTATTCAATGTTTCTTGGGAATGTAGCTGTAAAAATTCGCTCTGAAATCTTGCATTGCATTTAAAAAATTGTTTCCACACTCTCTTAAGCAATATTTCATCACATTGTGTAAGAATACCTGAAGACATGTGTTACTTAATGCCTATATGTTCACATATGCATTTGGTTTATTGTTTCAGGACAGAAAAAGTGGATGAAGTTATTAAAGAATGGGAAGGTTCTTTCTTTAAGGACAACCCTCGCTTAAGGAAAAAATCTGTTTCTTTGCGCTTTGATCTCCACCTAGCAGCAACAGATGAAGGCTGTTTACAGACTAAACAGAATAATCTACCTGATATTGAAGTCAGGCTGGTAATGAGGCGGTCTTCTAGTATTCCATCCATCAAACCTTAACCCACAGCAAATTAATCCAAAGATCATTTACAATGGGCTTTGGAAATAAATACATTAGGATGAACCTAAATAGGCCATATGGCCTCCTCCCATCTTGTCCCAATTAGGAAATGTTACTATGTATTTTAATGAACATTTGAAAAATGTATGATTCTTTTTTAATGAAAGGGAGAAAGGGAGGGGTGTAAGATTTCAAGAAACATAATTCCTATTAGTTTTTTTACTTTTTGTGATGTCTTTTAATTTTCTCATTATTTCTTTACAAAAGTCTTACTTTGCTGTGTAGAGTATCACTAAATATTTAAGAATTAAACTATACCTTTAAACCTTTACAAATTGTACTTTTATAAAAGAGAATCTGGCTTCTCTTATCAATTAATGAAAACTATACATTTCATTTTCTTAGTTTCACAAAACCATAGTGATTTATAATGCATAAGTCTTGCAGTCATTTTTACCATAAAAGTTATCATACAAATGGTATACATCAAAAACCATTTTTACTGGCATAAGTTAAATGCATAAAATCTCTCATAACATCTAAACTATTAATAAATAACAAATAATTTTCCTTTGATAGGTAAATAATATTTTTTACATATTTGAAAGTAACCACTCAAAAATAGGCTACTTTCTCCCACGCAATTATGCACGCTAACAAATAATATTGAGCATACCATGCAACAGGTTTTTAGCAGAATTCCTCATTTCAAACCATTTACATTAGAACTAGGGGTATGATATGGGTCACTGAGTTTTCTCACCTGTACATTACACAAGAACTGCCTTTTCAGTTCTACTGAGATACACAGGGTAAAACCCTGATGTTATAATTACCAACAAAAAATTGTAATTGACTTCAGTGGGACAAGCATTTTCTCTCACATGTACAGAGTACTAAGCTATTCTGATAAGGCTTCCATGGACAGAATTTCTGGCTTCCATAACCAAGACTTTGGTAGAAGTTCCTCACATAGAAGGCCAGCAGCATTAGCCTTACAGTAGGGCCAGAATTCAAAGTTTCTCAATATTCTTTCCAGGAGGTCCAGACTTTGCTGTCAGGCTTATTTCTGTTTTTTAAATCACTAATTGCCTAATATAAAACAGTCCTGCAATAAAGGAAGTGGGAGTCTGACTCTGTGGTTACAGCACTCTCTTGGCAGCAGAACCTGGAACCCAAGGGCGTTAGTACACTCCACATTTATTGGCTTTTGCACTGCAACAGATTCACAAAAGTTTAGGGCTGGAAAGGATCTCATGAGATCGCTGGATCCAGCCTCCCTGCTGTGGGCAGGAAAGACTGTTGGGGTCAAATAACCCCAGCAAGGTATGCATCCAGTCTCCTTTTAAAAATATCCAGGGTAGGTGCCTGCACCACCCCCACTGGAAGTCTATTCCAGAGTCTGGTCACACAAACCATAAAGAAGTTTTTCCTTATATCCAGGCTGAAACCACCTTCCAGGAGTTTATGACCATATAAACGGCGTGACTATTTGCACAAACAGGATTTCTGGACACTTTAAAAGTCTTTCTGATGCATTAAACTAAAACTCCTCAGATGTAGTTTAGTTTGGCTTGCCGGGAATTAAAACCACGGATTCATTGCATGCAAACACAAAGGCACTCAAAGACATGTAATGAGCCTCTTTGTCCACCAGGTGGCACTGCAACTTTTTTTGCAGTTCACCCCTTCGAATTGCTGCCTTTTGGGGGGGGGGTTTCTTGTGCTGTGTGCCGGCTCCCTGCTCCCACAGCTGCATGGGAGGGCACAGGGTGTGGGGCCCCAGGCCAGGAGGGCAGTGCAGGACCATCGCGCTCTGCTGCAGCACCAGCCAGGGACCGGGCTTAATTCATTCGAAAACCTAGTGCATGCAAACACTGATGTGACACGCCAAAATAAACAAGGTTAAATTTTATAAACCTATTTAATGAGAATTAAACCCTGTGACATGTACAGGCGCCCCAAGACTCCTGCCTCCCACTGTAGAGTCATAACCCTTAGGTGACAGAGGCAGGCTCCCTTTTGTTTGCTTTCCTTCTGGCCACATGATTCTTGTGCTTTTGGTTGCACGGTGGCTCAGCTTCAACAAGAGGTTTGTCAACAAGAGGCTCTCACATAGCCTCCCCTATAGCCTGGTGGCTGGCATGCTCCTTGCAAGTGGTAGAAATAGTTTCAAATCCCTTCAAGATAAGGTGGAACTAGAAGCCAGGTACTCCTATTGGGCAAATGCTTTAACCACTAGACTCTTGGTCAAAAGGCAGGTATCAGCAGCACCAGTTTTCAGCAGGTATCAGCAGCACCAGTTTTAAGGTGATTTCAATCCTACTGTTATGAGTTTGAGTTTCCCCCTACTGGCTGTTTCCCAAAGGGCTCAGGTGAGGTTTAGGTGTCTCCCAGGAAGACTCTAAATCATAACAGAGGATAGGCAAGAATTAGGTGCTATGGCATGCCCAGTGCTCCAACCTGAATTGCTTCTGACCATGCTCAGAAGTTCAAGGGAAGCTTTCTAGGAAACTTCTGCAGTCCAAAATGGAGGTGCCTAATGAATTTCAACACCTAATGAATTTTGTGGCTGCTGGAGCACAACCATTTTGAATCATTCTTTGGAACACTGGTACCAAAATGCTGCTTCAATTCTATTTAAGCACCTGAGGAAGCACTTTAAATTCTTCTCTTGATAGCATCAGAAAGAACCATAGGCCTTCAGAAATACAGGAATGATATTAAGAATTAAAAAAATCATAAAAAATGCTTCTCCTATCTGTCCACCTGCATCTGTATTGCGATCATCTGAGGAACACTAAGGAAACTATGTCCTTGGATTGTTTAAAATCATAGTCATCCTACAGTGTTTAAATACTTGTTTTGATGTTTCCACATATTACAATGGTGAAAAATTAAATTAATAAAGTTATCTTTTAAAATATCTTTTAAAAATAGCATATGCTGTTGGCCTACATTATGTAGTACATCATAAATTTATCAGGGTATATTTACTGTATATACAAAAATGGATCAAGTAAGGGCTACAAATTTAAATAAAAACTTTACTAGACCTATTATGTTTTTCTCTATTGCTAATTCAGAGTAGTGTGGGCAAACCTCAGCTACAGTAAACAAAACCTTACATCTTTTTTCTCCACAGGAAAACAGAAATACAAACTTATACACTCATTTTTATTAACAGATTATGAAACTAGGTTTGAACAACATCCTATATAGTTAGGTAAGAATGGCAGATTAATTACGAAGAATTCTAGAAGGGCTGACCTCACAAACTCTAATTTGAATCAATGGGAGTTGCAGGAACTCAGTATCTCAGAAAACCAGATCATGTTTTCTGTAGGTCCACAATAGCATGTGTAAGTTTTATTCAGGTGTCAGCACTTGCCCTATTGCTTATGGTATGTTTAACAGATACTGACACTGCAGGTTTCATCCATCATTTATTTAACTGCTTCTAACTTTTACTAATGTAAGAACAGTGCATTTATACTGAATGCAGTTATACTATTTATGCATTGTTCTATATCTCCTGTACTAAGCTGGCTAATTAACATTAACCCTAATTGTCAAATAGTGAGCTGGTGTATACTTGAGTATTTGGCATCCTGAATGTAATAGACTGTCCGAGTAATTCCACTATGCAGCTTTTTGTGCTTATATTATGTACCTTTTACAATACTTGAATTTAAACTTAAGTTTTAACTGCTTTGAGGCACTTTAAACAGGGATATGAATTTACCAAAGTAAATGATACCACTGCAATAAAGAATAATAAAATTGAATCTGGCATTGTGTATTATGTGAATCTGACCACACACACTTGCATTTGTGAGAGAGGCAGAGTAATCTAAATATAAAATGAATGCACTAGACCAGGGGTTCTCAATCCCCGGACCGCAGCCAGATGCCAGGCCACAGCAGGTCGGCTGCCAGTCCGCAGCACAGTAGCTGCCAGACTGGAAGTGACCACGGACTGACAAACCGCGACCCCCCAGAGCTGGGCGGAGAGGTTGCGGCTCCTTCCGCAGGGCCCACAGCAGCATAGGGTTTGGCCCACCCCCCACCTGGGGGTGAGGGTATCATTACCTGTTTTCCGGCCCGAAATTCTGGCCACAGTTGGCTCTGACTGCTGGGCTGTGGTTTGCCGGGCCGCGGTCACTTCCAGGAAGCAGTTTGCCAGCCCACAGGATAAAAACTTTGGGAACCCCTGCACTAGACTATAAATACTCTAGAATAGTTTCCTATAGATGTTTCCACAAATACTGTATTATGACCCAAATTTCCTATGGATCTCCTACATAGCATGCCAAGGGTGTACACTGCCTGGTATAGTACCTTTGGTAAATTTTCAGGTATACCCATGGGCCATGACCAGGAGGGGGACCCTCTGGACTATATATTGTACAAATAAAAAAGACTGTCTCTTTTACATAAAGCTTGCAATATATAGAAGACAAGAGACAGAATTAGGCATACAACAAATAAATAATTATCAGAAATCCAGCCTAAAACATACAGCTGTAAAAGTTCTTAGGTACCCATCCACTTATAGGAAGAATTTACACAGAAACATAGCAATTGATTTATCAAATTAGACCAATGGCCTAATAACTTGTTTCTGATATTAGTTTGTATAAGATCCACCACAGAAAGGGGTTTAGGAATACTTTTTATAGACAGGGTTTGTCATTATCCATGAGGGAAAGAATTACTGGACATCTTGATTTATACCCTGAAACATCATCTCTCTGATATTTTTTATTCTACCTCTTGGAAGTGTGGTTTTTCTCACTATGTGTATAAATTCTGCGCCTTCTACTGCTAAATAATTAGCTAAGCTTGCAATAAATTGTATGCTATAGATAAATAGAGGAAAATTATCGTCTTGAACTGGAAAATTAAAATAGTCATTCTTCCTGGTGTATGCTATTTTGACTATATCAGGGCTGGATTTCACAGCCAATGAAATTAATTTAAGTCATTGACTTTAATG